GGGAACAGCTGAAGGCAGCCAGGACCAGGCAAGGCTAAGCTCCAGCCACAACACAGGCTGATGGCCAGGTGCTGCCCCACCAGCCCTGCTGCACCTCCACGTGGGTGTGATGCTGTGCCCCCATGCCCACACATGGCAGCACTGAAACACTGTGACAGAAGAAGGAGGAAAGAAAAAAGCCTGCAGCTGCCTTTGATATGCATCTGTCTCATCCAGGACTATTACTAATAAATTCTCAGAGTACAGACAGCTTGCCAGAGCCAGCGTTCAAAGGCAAGAAAGAAGGCCAAAATAATTTTGTGTACTTTTAAATAAAACAGATCCCTCACAAAAATGCTATTCAGGGAACTTTAATATTATCTTTTGGAGAAGTCTATGTAGTGCTGCAAAAAATGGTCTCTGTTTTTCCTGAAAATACAGTTGTCATAATGCAATGAGTTCTAAATCCTGTGTCTAAAAGTATGTCCCCTGTAACAATCCCTATTACACCTACATACAAATGTATTCATATCTAGATCAAACGAGCTTTTGCCCTTCTGCTCCATGGGAGGTTTCTGGCCTCCCTGAGCTCGCAAGTTTCTCAGCAAGTTAGCTGATGACACCAAGCTGAGTGGTGCGGTTGACACGGTGGAAGGAAGGGATGCCATTCAGAGGGACCTCAACAGACTTGAAAGATGGGCCTGGGTGAACCTAATGAGGTTCAACACAGCAAAGTGCAAAGTTTTGCGCTTGAGCTGGAGGAATCCCAGGCATCCATACAGACTGGAAGGAACAGTCCTTGAGAGCAGCCTTGCAGAGAAGGACCTGGGGGTCCTGATGGATGAAAAACTTAACATGAGCCAGCAGTGTGCCCTTGCGGCTCGGAAAGCAAATGGTATCCTGGGCTCCATCAGAAGAGGAGTGGCCAGCAGGGACAGAGAGGTGATTGTTCCTCTCTACTCTGCTCTTGTGAGGCCCCATCTAGACTACTGTGTTCAGGTCTGGAGCCCCCAGTGCAAGAAAGACAGAGCTGTTGGAGAGGGTCAAGAGGAGAGCCACAAAGATGATCAGGGGACTGGAGCACCTCCCCTATGAAGACAAGCTGAGGGAGCTGGGCTTGATCAGCCTGGAGAAAAGAAGGCTGCAGGGTGACCTCATTGCACCGTTCCAGTACCTAAAGGGAGCCTACAAACAGGAGGGGAGTCAACTCTTTGAAAGGGTAGATAACTGCAGGACAAGGGGAAATGGCTTTAAGTTGAAGGAGGGAAGATTTAGGTTGGATGTCAGGGGGAAGTTCTTTACAGAGAGAGTGGTGAGGTGCTGGAACAGGCTGCCCAGAGAGGTTGTGGATGCCCCATCCCTAGAGGTGTTCAAGGCCAGATTGGATGGGGCCCTGGGCAGCCTGGTCTGGTATTAAATGGGAAAGTTAGTGGCCCTGCATATGGCAGGGGGGTTGGAGATTCATGATCCTTGAGGTCCTTTCCAACCCTGGCCATTCTGTGATTCTGTGGTATCTACATATCAGTATAAGGAAACTGCACATCACTGCAACATCACCCTGCTCCAGGCAGAGTGCTATCTCGTGATTGCTGTTACAAACACCTGTTTTGACATTACAGGGCTAGGGGACTTCAGGTTTTAAAAAGCAAAGCTGCACTGCCTGAGGAGAAAAGACTACAGATAATTACATACAGGAGGGCTGGGGAAAAGTGGGTGACATGAACAAAGAGCACATCTTGAGGAGCTTTGAAAGCTAGTGCAGCTTACTGAGATCAATGGCATGTCATCCCAGAGGAGTGCTGAAAAAGCCTTTGTAGTTCTGCCCCCCTTCTGTCTGTCTGCACTTTGTATTTCTAAGCAGGCAGCACGCAGACTGTGCGTGTCTTTAAGCACACATAGCATCCATGTAACACAGCATCAGAGGTGGCATACAAATGAAGTACTGTGCAAAGATAGGTGGTGCAAAGCAATGCTTACTTAGATCAGAAGCTAAGGAATTGGTTTTATGATCTGATCAATAAGATGTCCATCTAACAGACATTAAGATCGTCCCAGTCCGTAGAAAGCAGCATGTTTTTGTTCAGAATAAAGCACCTCAGAGATACAGCAGTGGGAAGTACTGTAAATAAAGATTTAAAAAAATGATTCCCCAAGAACAATAAAGACTAGTAAAAAATAAGTAATGCTATATCTAAAAGAGGTTTAAACTGGCTTTCAGAAAATAGCATGGCACATGAAACACAGACATCAGCCTCTCAAAAGAGAGCTTGCTACACGAGGCAGCACAGAAACAGACAGAGTGGGGAAAGCAGCTTAATCTATAAAAAGGTAAATATCATTACAAGGAAAGGTTGAAGACAAGAAAAGGGAAAAAGAAAAGAATCCTTTCCTCCTACTAGCTCAGGATAGTGATGTTTGTAGGACTCAGTTTGATATTTCAATAAATAATTACGTTTTTTCCAATGAAACAACCAGCTAGACATGGCAAACTGTAATTAACACCAAGAAGCACGATACTGTTTGGCATGCTCACACCTTGTTTCTGAACAGGAGGATGCAAGAACTCCTTACAAGCTATTCAAAGAAACTTACAATTATAATTATATGCTAGTGTGATTAGCTCCTCTAATAATGTCATGCCTATTGAGCACGCCCTATTGAGAAGCCCACATTAAAAAATACACTGTTCCACTGATCTGTATGCTTATGTCAGAAACCCTTATTTGAATATCCAAGAAATGAAAGAAACATTACTATGGAAATCAAGAAATTCAGTTTAGCACTGTAAAATAATATTATGATTGAATAATATTAGCACCAACTATAAATAAATGTGCCAGCATTTCCCATTATAAAACACCATATGCAATTGCCTGTAGCTATGCCAAAAATTTTAAGCTATGAAGGTGATCCCCATGTTAAAAATTTATCCAAAGCTTTGGTGACTTGCAACAAAACTTTGACTTCAGGCAACAAATACACGCTTTTGACCATGCACAAAGGATCAAGACAGCATGATAAACTCATTGCAGAAGGGTCACACTCTGGCTTACGGTCACACTCAAGTGAACAAGAAGGAATACAAAAAATCCCAGCACTCAATCAGTGAGTTTTGAGCTGGATAAGCAGCTGAATATCATGTATGACTAACAGAATGTGATTTGCAGTCTTCAAACAGCTCTGACATAACCAATCTGACAGATATACCCTTGCGTAACCCAGGTAAATACATTTCAATTTTGTCCTAAATTATGTTCACATACGGAATATTAGAAGGAATTCATTTGTTTTAAACTTCATCTGAAGAATAATAAGATCACAGAACAATTTGCATACACATGCAAATTATTAAATAGGTGCTAACTGTTTTTATTATTAATAATAGTCTTTAAAATAGAAACTCTCTTTTCTTAATCTTTATTGCAGGAAACAAAGATAAAATCTCTATGTAAAATAAGCCACAAAATTACTCTCAGCCCAATTGTGTTGGTAACTGGCCATTCTTCATTTTAATTTAGAAGTAATGAAGGATATAATTTATGAAATGAAGATGCCTGCTATCTTAGACCAATTAATCCATGTCCTTTATGGTGCATTCTTAAGAGTTAAATAGAGTGGTGTGATTCCTGGGGACCCATGAGCATACGTGCACAGGTAGCTCAGAGGTGAGCAGCACCTGCCTGCAAGTGAGAATCCTCTGAAAGTGCTTAAGTCTGTTATAAGCTAACAGAAATGTGTGCCACTCGCCATTTGAATGCTCGCATTACTGAGCCATTTTTGTAGCTGATCACAGCACCTCCACCAGCTTGGATGAGTTTTCAGACAAGTCAGACCAAAGTGACCAAATTTTCTGCCGTTCAGGCTTCCTTCTCCTTCCAAACCCCCTTGTGCCTCACCTCACCAGCCCTACCTCCAGATGTACTATTTATTATTACTTCTGTAGTCAAAAAACCAATTTACTACCCACATTTGGAAGATGCCCTCAGGACTGCAAAAACCTTTAGACAAAGCATGGAGGGATATATAACGCTGTATTGGGAAAAAAAGACATTAATGGCCATAATGCAAGGCATTACCATTCTCTTCATCTCCTTGGAGACCTGGTGAGCTCCAAGGTGGTTGTAAAAGGGCCGGTCGACACCCCAGTGCGGCGGGTTGTGGCTGATGGAGTTGGTGCGCTGCCGGTTCATCTTGGCTATTGTGGCTTTCTCATCTTTCTGAAAGACAAGCGAGGGAGAAACGTGTAAATAGCCAACACCTTTTTCAGTAGGCACAAGCATGGCATTTTCCACACTTGAAGGAAGAGAACAGCTTCCCAGACACGGCAAGCATATAAATCTTACAATCAACTGAACTGCGTAGCCACTAAGGGCAACAGGACAAAAAAAATGGTCTCCTCTGCCCTAATGCTACCTGCAAATATTGCCATTGGCAGCAATTTCCCTGAAGTCTGGACAAGGTCTTTGTGTTTGCTACCAGAGATGGTTTTGAATCTTGGCTGTACTGGAAGCTTACTGCAAATCTTGTACATTGCAGGTCTGAAAGGTTTCCTTAAAGCTCAATACCAACTGCAAGAGCATGGAACTGCAGTGATTATCTTACCTTACCTAAAGACAAACTCTTTAGGGCTTGGATAACAAATAGCTAAAACCTGCCTATCACTTGGGAGAGAAAACCTATTTCGAGAAAATTGCTGCTTACATGCGTTTATGAAAACAATTAGATGAAATTGTTAATTTTGGGTTGCAGACAGTATTCAGGCATCTGGACATTAAAAAAAAAGAACCAGTTGTTTTAAACTTAGAATTTTTGTTTGTCCTGAATGACAACGTTGGTCAGCATCTGTTTTTGCCTGGAATCCACCTTACTTATCTGTTTATTTTGATTCATTGCTACTGACTGTAACTTGTACCTGTCAAGAGTTTGCAAAATACCTGGTGTTATTTCCATGGAAACCAGAGAGTTAAATGTCAAATGTCATGCTGCCTTAAATTCCTTTTCTTTTTTTTTTTTCCCCAAAGGAAATCAAAAAGAATGTTTAAACTCAGTGCTGGGGAAAACCATCCGATGGCTCAAGTATGGGAAATCATCATCTCTTTTCTTGCAAAGAAGAGACAACTCCTACGACTACATTTCCCATGAGACTGCATGCTCACCATGAGGGCACCAAGCGTTTGGGGCAGGTGGCCCTGCAGGCTTGTCCCAAAGGAAGCACCAGCTTCACCAATGGGACGTGTGCTCCCACACCTCCTGCCACCACAGCTGCAGCTGCCTCCATCCCCATGTCGGACCCACCGCCGCCTCAGCTGCGAGCGCTGGAAACTCCACTGCTTGGCACCAGGGAACTTCACATGAGCAATCCTGACAGGGCCACTGGATCACCTCCAGGGGAGCAGCACTTTAAGGGCTAAAAATACACGAGCATGATGCAACGCCGATGTGCAGATTTGAGCTGGTTTGAGGTTTTGGTTTTTAAAAGTCATCGCACTTTGTAGTGCTTGCAATCATTTGCAGCACTTTTTGTGGTTTCTTTTTTCATGTATGGATTTTTTTCACAATTATGCTTCTTGTTTTATACAGCGTGATGCCAGAAAACTGGTAGAAAATGTAGTTCCATTTTCTACAAGCAGATATACATTGTTGTCACTAATAAAAGTGACACTGTCAATCTATTTTATTGCAGTTTAGTGAAGGGTTTTCAACCTGAAGCAATCAAAAACTAGGCTGGGGACCTATAAAGCAAAGCTCCTTGGCTTACATTGCAAATAGTTTTACATCAACAGATGATAAAAAGATACAGGGAGCAGTTTTTCCCCACAACTTGGTCAATTTGCTTAAAATTTGAGAAAAGCCTTAAAGTCCCAAAATGCAATCAGATGTGCTAAGCCCTATCAGCCAGGGAGTGATCCTCCCACCTGCTTCCAGTGCAGAATGACTCTGCAGCGCTACTTTTCCTCCATGCCAATCACCTGATTAATGTGAAGGGAGTAAAGACCTCATACATGTATACAGGCACATCTGCATTGAGGTAAGGTTGGGACAAATGAGTAAATACGTACTTCTGAGAGAGGTCAGGCACCATAAATTATCCATGGCCACGCGAACTCTGTGGGGGTATTTCCCCACCCCTTTTAGAAGGTTTATGTTGGATTGTGAGCTGTGTTTCAGCAATATTTCCAATCACATTAAAGCACATATATAAATAAATTGTGGATTTTCTGTTTTCCAACGTTACATGCTGTGCTACTCTGTTATCTTGGACAGTAGGACTTTGCTGTTAACATAAATACTTACTCAAAAAGCATTTATTCAAACTCTACATTTTTTAAAGTAGAGGTAATTTATTTTCTGAAAAGTAGCATATTCAGTGGCTGATGAGAATAACAAGGTCTAAAAATGAAGAACAAGCAGGATCACAACTTTGGTTTAGAAATTTATGAGGATCCCTACACTGTTCCCTCCTGCCTATTGGCAGTATGAGAATACCTTGCACACAGTGCTCCCTAAGGCATAATGAAGCAGGAAGGAAGAATAAAAAGAAGGAACAGAAGACACCTTTTAGTCTTACTCATCACAAGTACTACCAATAACAGGAGCAGGTGCAAAGGTTTCTGACAGCAATGTGTTTTTCAGATTTGAAGTGGCTGCACTTCAGAAGATGTGGGAACTTTTCAAATCTGAACTCACGAAGAGCCTGTAAAATTGTATTCCCAGAGGTTTGTTCCGTTCCCACCACCAGTTCCCACACACTAAGCTACAGTAATACTATAGCAGAACTGCAGAAGTAGCTGGGATTTTCTTACAATTATCAATTGCATTAAGCATGCCTGTTACTTCTTTAGCGTATGATTAGATTTTCCAAATTATGCAATCACTATCAGTACAACAAAACAGTGATGCTGAGAAGGGATCAAGCATTTCTCATTCAGCTACCTATTCTGCCTTAAACTGTCTTGAAGTCCTACTGGTATGAATGGTGTTTCATGCAGTAATACATGGTCTAAACACTGCGTTCATAAATCTGGGGAGTAGAACCCCACAGAGTCGTGATTAAATTTGTTAAATTGGGGCATCAACATGTTAGATTGATGGTGTTTTAGAAGAGTCACATGCTCAGCATTTAAATGACCATTCTGTTTCTTCAGCTGGATGCAGTTCCAGGACACTATTTGAAAAAGAATGGGAATTGTTTTTCTAGGAGTTACAGCCAAAGTTTTGTTGAGCTGTTTCAAAGCCATCATCAACAATTCTTTCTGAAACTGTTGTGTACCTGCTATTGTTAAAAGAAACGCCCATATTTACTGTGACTGAAAGGCCTTAGAAATAAATAAACATTTTTTCAGTTGGCTGCCTTTGAGCACCCAGCACAGTGTTTAGTCAGCAGTATTGCTCATCTGTTGACAGTCACGTTTTGTTTCCACCTGTGTTCAAAGCAAAGCATTTCCCCAGTCTTCTGCCATTTTTGAGGGCTATAAAACTAATCATGAGCCTAATGTGCTATTAAAATCTTATTCACCTTAAATTCAGACCCAGTTCCCACTCTACCAAACACATACTTCTGCACCCTTCTGAGAGTAAAGACTCTACCAGTGACTAGAATTGATGTGCTGGTTCTGCAGATCAACTAGTGTGGTACCTGTCCTCAAAACAAAAGTTGGCCATAACCACTAAGTGATGTGCTCCTACCCAAATGCCAGAAGCTCAGGCAAAATAAAGACTTGGGATCACAGAATCATTAAGGTCGGAAAAGAACACTAAAATGATCCAGTCCAACTGCCAGCCCATCACCACCCTGCCCACTAAACTCTCACTACTGGATATTGCTATAGTTAAATTCAATACTCTAAGAATAGCAGGGATGTGCTGGAATAGCAGTAATGACCAGGACAGAGGTTTTGAATAAAAGGAAGGCAGATATAAAAGCCAAGAGCTGAGGTACACAGCCATGTGGTAGGAGTGCCACAGTCTGCACAGTAAATCTAGAAGTATAACATGAATAAACCAAAATCATTCTGCTGAAGGATGAAGAAGTCGTACTGGGTAATGCTAGGCAGTTCATTACAATGCCTTGGGGCTAAGTTTGGGAACCAGTAATGATCTGCATAACAGTGTTAGCAACTTTAACTGATAATTCTCTGTTTATCTGGAAACAGTGGTTTTTCAGATAAAGAATGAAGAAGCAAAGCCAGTAATAGAGGAAGGGTAATGAGATTTCCTGCATTTATTTCATGCAAAGGTATGAAGTTCAAAAGAAATATATATTCAAACAAGTAAGAAAAGAATAGTGAATTAGGGTAAACTCACCCTATATAAATTACCCTATGTAACCCCAGGGAAACAGATATTCAAAAATCGACATCATTCCAGAACCAAAGGAACAAACTGTTTCTCTTTTCAGATAATCAGTGCTGCCGCAGTCGAGGCAAAAAGGAACAGGGATCATAAGGGTAGGGTTGTAAACAGAAAACATGACAGAAATTGGAAGCAAAACTTAAAATGTAATGTGCTGAATGCAGATGGATGACCTCCATCCCAGATCTCTGCAAAACTGCCAAATTCAATTACAGTTCTGGTAAGAGATACTTTTAATAACTATTTAGTCAGGGATCATGACACTGAACTATAGAGCAGTGAATGCTGGCTTGGATTAACAGCCATGAGAGCATCCAAGCTTTTCTAAATAGAAAAAATACATTAACTGTCCCTGAACTTGTTTTTTTTTCCATAGAGCATTTGAGAGAGAGCTGTGCTGGGGACTGAGGATAAGGCTGTGGGGGAACTAGAAGTTGGGAGAAGAGCTGGCTTATGGCGAAAAAGCAAGAGATGACTTTGAGGGAAGATAAATTAGGCTGGATGAAATTCACTGAGAGAGTTGCTCAGTGATTAGTCTTGGGGCATATTTAAAAAATATTTTCCTTACCAAATCAGGCACCAAGTGCAGCACGGTTGGACTTTGTAAAGAGAAGTGGTGAAAATATTTGATTGATAAGGGAAAAAGATATCAGACAGCACTGGACATTTGAGAGCTGACATAGCAGAAATGGGATATTCCAATCTACAAAACTCAGAATCATTCCTTTAGAGATTACAGTAAAAAATGTCACTTCATTATCAGGAATTACATCCATCCATCACAGAACAACTATGAGACTCAGAGGTAACACAGCTGTGCAAGAGCTAATGGCTTTCTTTGCTGATTGGGAAAACTGAGTTTGTTATGAGAACCTGGGATTCTCTTCTTCATTGCAAGAAAAAATTAGAATAGTTTGTCTTGGGATTGAAAAGGTTGAGAGGGACAGAGAATTGTGTGCAAGAATTGTGTGATGTATGCACATTGCCCCAAGTAGCACTGAGGTAGATTTGATGGCTCAAGAAATTCTTTCTAGTTACATTTTTCTGTCTACATTAGAGCTTATATCTATCTTTGCATTCCTTACATAGTTTAATAAACTGTGCCTTTCTTACATACATTAAGAAACTGGTCTCCGCATGGAGTCCAGCAGCGAGTGGTGTTCTTCAGGGGTCAAAAAATAAATTGGAAACAGCAATCAAAACCTTTTATCTGCTCAAGTCACTCCTGCTTTGGGCTATCCAAGAAGCAGTTGTGACACACCGCTTTTTTTTCACAGGGAAGTGTTTATCCACAAGAGCATCAATAGCACAGGACAGTGCAAACAGAAAGGTGAAAGCAGATCTTATTGATGAGGAAAGACAAACCTAAGCAGACAGTATTCCTAAGGTTTTGCAGTTTATTCTTTCAGTAGAAATCAATTCTTGTGCACATCAGAAGGAAAACAAGCACTACACTTTCAGCTATAGAAAAAAAGTTGAAGTAATTAAAATCTAGCCATATTTTTTTTTCTCCAAAACAACTAAATATATTCCAGTTAACAGCATTCTTAAGAAAAAAAAAAAAAGCTATCTTCAAAGAAGGAATTCTGATTCCTGGAACAAAAATACTGCATAAATGTTTCTCCTGTTTACTCTGTGCCAAAGAAATAGCATTAACATAATGAATTAATTTAATGGCTGAAAACGTAAAGTAAACAATAAAAGACAGGAAGTTTAAAGTTATGACTCCCCATGGCAACAGTAAGCAGAAAGGGTCTGACAGTAAATGCTGACATGGCATGCATTCACTGGAACTCGTGAGGTTGTTGGGTTTGGATGGCCATGGGACAGATGGACAAGGTATTCAGGCAATTCCAGGGGGCCTGTGTGAGCTGGGGTATAGCTCAGGCAGCTAAGTGAGTCACCTATGCATCTACTCTTGACACAAAATAAAGCATCCTCACTGTTAGATCCTCTAGAACAAACCTTTAATTAAACTGCATTTCTTTTTTCCCCCCTCCCCCCCCCCTTTTTTTTTTTTTATATTCTTTGATTCATTTCTTAACATATATATTAATAATTGTGTGGATTCATTTAGCTTTTCAGTGGAGTTTCTCACAACACAGCAGAAGAGACAGAATTAGGAAATTAAATTAGATGAACTATATGCAAAAAAAAACAAAAAAAAACCAAAAAAACAAAAAAACTGCCCCATGCATTGCTGCCTTAAGATATTAATATCCATCTAAATTCAATAACAGTATTTTCCCAATCATATCAGAATGTGCAGGTGTGAGAGATGTTCAGAATTTAGGCCCAATCAAACCCAGAGACCAATCATGAGAAGTACCACCTTCAGAAGGCCAATGTTTCAGAAGGACACAGCGTTTAAGCGGAAAGAAGTCTCTCAATGCCAATTGCAGCTAAGTAGTTTGTGCTTTCTGAAAGGACATCAGAATGGTGAGGTATGGTGCAGATGTACCTGATCACACCTGAAGTAACAGCAGGGTTTTAATATGGAGCCTTCAAGCATGAACTTGCACTGCTTGAACTAATAATGTCATTTCAAGGTTAAGAGCAGACTCATCTACTACACATGGACAAGAGCTTTCACTCTGCAAGAAGTTGTTATGAAGGGAGGGCAACTGACGGCCTGATCAAAGCATATGTTAGAACATCTTCATCACCTTGCAGAAACCAGAATCCAAGAGACAATATTGCAGTATCCATCAAAAAACATTCTTAGCAAAACCTGACATAAGTTACACCCTGGAAGGGACAAGATTTTAAACAGGTATTCTTCTTCATCTAGTGGCATAACCAGCAGAACAGATTGAAATCCATGTGAACAGAAGAAACACAGGGTATGGGAAATGTTCCCCTTGTCCTTGCCTAGGCCTAAGAGGGTGAAAATTCAGGCAAACATGATTTATGCTCTCTCTAGCAGAAGAGATGCTGCTAGCTAGGATCACAATGGCATGCACAGAGAGCTCTCTAATGAAAACCCTACAGCTTGTGTTTGAAGACTGTAGGAACCCAGACACAACTCACAGGAACCCATGACTAAGTTAAGTAAACTCTTTATGGTCATTACTGGGACAGACACAAATGAAAACCTGGCTAAATACATCACAGGAAGTCATCAAAGTCATGCAGAAATGGAAAGTAAAAGTGAAGTGCTACAAATTCTCCCAACATCCAGCAAAATATTCATGGCAGACCAAGCTGGCTATTTCAGAAAGCTTTTCTCGCTTCTGATCTCCCTATTAGGTGAAAATGAATTTTCAAGGAAGGAGAGAACTTGAAACTAATCACAATGGGAGAGAAAATGGCTATGGAGAAAGAAATCTGCAGTTGCATGAGCAAACCAGGAGCCCCTCAAGCTCCAAGAATTACAATCTATGACCTTGGGTAGCAATTTTTTTATGTTTCAATTTAGCACAAAAATTACATAGATCATGAGCATGTCCCTATTCTCAACTCTGGGGTGCAGCATGTATAAGCAGCATTACAGCAGTGCATGGAGACTTCAGCTACTACTTAACAAAGCTGTAACACAGATAAAGTGGTGAAAGAATGGGGAGGGGGGAACATTTTATTTTACATATAGAATGGAATCCTAGTATCTCTTTATCCAGTCTCCTAGTCATAATGTGCTCTCTGTTCAAAAACAAAGTCAAGTTCTACATGCTATGGGTGTCTGCTAAGTGTTTTCTTTCTGCAAGGAGCAGAATCCTGATGTTTCCTTAATTTTTCCCTTTCTCTCCAAAAACCTGTTCTCCACAAGAAGATGCAGACAGGGAGGTGACTGAATGATTTAACAAGTCAGTATAGCTTCTCCACCCCTGGAGAAGGGGCCTGGTAAAGGGTACTGTGGTTTATGTTCCTGAATGTACCCAGAAATGAAGAAGTGGCTTAGGTATGAATATCAGCTGGTCCTCTGACAGGCAGTGATACTCAGGAAACAATATACTTGTACTGCAAGCTCTAATCTTCTTTTGAAGATTGACAATTGTTAATGAGATTTATTGCATGAGCAGATGGAAACCAAAACATCAGCTTCTTCCTTTAGGAGATGATAAGGGTTTTTCTTGAAGACTTTTCATACAATATTCATTCAGGAAATTTGAGGCTTCCATTCTCTCAGGAAATGAGGCAATGGTAACCAAGTAGTTCTGTATGGGTGTTACAGATATTCATAGCAACCATGCTATTGGAACTGGTTGCAAATAGTTTAGTCACACAATTGCCACACTTATGGCTCTAGGTAGATTCAATTGATCTTTGATTCAGAAACATATGACATGA